AATCACTTTCATCATCATCATGATTTTCATTTAAGTTGAAGCTTGGATATTGCTGGATAATTTCCTGTTATTCATTGGTGAACAACCCTTCTCAAAGGCGTAATGGGTACATGGCCTTTGTGTTTTGAGGAGCCCACTTATTCCTTCATAATGAAGAGATAATGGGCCAATAGGCTCTGTAACATTATGCCACTCTTGCTGAGGTGCAATGGTTTTTTGCAGCTAGCTTCCATTCTTTTTGTTCTAGCTTTTTTTGCTTTCCTTTTATTTTGTTTTTGTTTCCTTTTTTCTTGTTGGCTTGGAATACTGCACCTTAAACAGCCTGGAACATTTTTCTTTCAATTCTGTAAGGTGGGGAGGGTCATGATGTTTTAGGCCAAGCATAAGGGGAGGGTTAGCAAATTTCACTCCCATTGAAGGGATGGGTCACCTAATTTCCAAACCCAAATTTAAAATTCCCACCCCCCCTCCCCCCCTGCTAATTTCTGACAAGTCCCTTATAGACTTATTTTCAAGTTTCAAATCTACTAAAATAAATCTTCCATCTAGATCAGAAAATTGTTTCTGGATTTCGAATTGAAAATTGTTGTTAAACAGGATGCATACCCCTGCACTTGAGCTACAAACACTACTAAAAATAGCTGAGAAGCCCCATTCTGATGACCACAGTCGTTCTTTTTCTTTGGTGCAGTGGACTTCTTGAAGAAAGAATATTCCAAATTTTTTCATTCTAGGCCAACGAAAGGTTTCTCGCCACTTATGGGATAAGCCCCTCACATTAAGAGAACAGATTATCAATTCGTCAATTGGGAACTTGTTGATGATTAAAAGTAGTGAACTGGAATGCAGAAACAGAATGCAAATTACGATAGTTAACACTTCGTAGGACTGAAAAATATTTTCTACTGATCGAAAAAACAAAACAACGGCTACACTGGAAACATAGAACTGTAAATAAAAATAAAAAAAGGTAAAATTTAAGCGGCTTAGGGAGAACATACCTTGAAACAGAAAGATTGACGAAGCCGGAAAGGACGGAACGCCAGATAGTTTAACTTTCGAACTTACAATATACAAACTTTCTTTATGTTTCTTTCGGAATTTTGCGTGTATTTTTAGTTCATCTTGGAGATCTTTGATTGTGTCCCACGTCGCGTTCAATGATGTTTCCATATCGTTCACGGTCGATTTTACTTTCTCAATTTCTTCGTTGAGTTCCTGTCTAAGACATGATAACTCGGATTTTAGACTGCCGAAGAGGTCTTCCGAGATTCCGTCTTCCGTCTTCCGATTCGAGATTCCAAATGACACAACTTATCCATAATGTTGCTGAGTGAGACGTGATCGTCGTCCTTACCTGGCGTCCCATCGCGGAGCAAGCCTTTCGGCGATGGTTGATATTGTGAAGAGGATGAACTCGAAGAGCGTGTTTCACGTTGATTCCGTTTAGACATTGATTTAAAGATGATTATATGATCAGAGGGTGTTTATATAGCGGCGTCTGTCCGTTTCCGAATGAAGGAATCAGAGAGATTATTTTTTGCGACTGTCGGCCATCATGCTCTTCCCAGTCCCTCCTGTTTGATGTTTGATTCCTGTTTTAAATATGAAACACTCATTCGTTTTGATTTTGGACAACGAATTACCCACCATGATCGGCGTATTATTCAGGCTAGGGGATCAGTGCTAACAACCCCTTAAATGAGCGTATTTTTAACGAAATAGCGACCATGATCGCGCAGAATCGTACAAGGAAGAGTGTACTCGCAAATGTAGACATTTCCGATGCTTACGCGAAAATAATAACGGTTTCCAAGAACCAGATGGTCATAACAAGTAAACTCTTTTCATCACCGCAAATTCTACACCATGCACCCAACAGTCCCTGAACAGTACTCAAGACAGTGGCGATAGTTTTGTATGCCGAGGCCATCAAATTCTTTAAACGGTAATGTGCGGTGTACGAGTGGAACCTCGACAAAATAATTATCCTAAATTTATCTGTGGGTATGTTAAGCTGAATAACCAATGTAAAATTACTCACCTTACCCAAAATTAATCCAAGGAACTTCGATTTAATAAAACACAAGGTAGCACGATGAAGAAGAGAAAGTGATTGTCTAAAGCGGAACTGCTCGTAATTGATCTAAAGCCATCACCTGACCGATAATATTGGCGTCCGACTAAGACCCTGTTTACATGGAGTGGGGGACCCCGGTCTAGTGGGGTTGGTTTCTTTTGTTTTCACGCTCTGAGGGACACAAAACAAAAGAAACTTACCCCACTAGACCGGGGTCCCCCACTCCATGTAAACAGGGTCTAAGACAGATCACGCAAATGTCGTTAAGGTCGAGCTATCACAGTCACGCTATTTTTCACAGTCACGCTATTCAAAGAAAATGAGGGCTCGTAAAGGCGCGGCGGGAGAGGAACCCGAAGGGTATGCTGTTCGGAAAATTAGAATTAAACCCCTAGGATTTATTTGACCCCAAAAGGATCGATTCTGTAAACCCAAAACTTTTAAACTTGCTTAAGATTTTACAACTTTGCTTTTGTAGCTTGAAACCATGCAGTTCGCCGGCTATATATTTAAACACATTTTGTAATGTTTTATAGTAGAGCGATTATGCGTGCACGTGGATGATGTCATCAATTTTAAATTCTTTCATGTCACGCAAAGTGGTCGCGAATTATATAAAGTTACATCATACTTCCGTAAACAAAAATAATGTACAGTTCAATTACAATTTCCTGAAAATTAAAGTTGTATCTGTCTACGTTTGCGTTATTTCAGTTGGCGAATTACATTAATTATCCTCATGTTTAAGAAGAATAGGCAACTGTTGTTCTGTTGTTCAAGTAATAATTGTCATAGGTTTCTTTTCTCTTTTTTTTTTCATTTTTTATTTAATAGTTTTGTTTTCTTTCTGTACGCAAATTTTCCTTTTCACTTGCTGTGAAGTAGCTGAGAACGACAACTGCCGGCAGTGACTTCAAAACAATTGTTTCTTTGCCCGTAAACAATTGCTGGGGCTGGATTTGACTGAAGCGAGCAAAACAAACCCTTATGTGCAGTTTTCTGTATTTTCTAATGATTTGCTGAGTTTAATTTACTTGAATGAAGACCCTCGCATGGACCAGTTATTAAAAATGGCTAAATGGTGAATCATAGCTTGGTTGCGAAGTTTGCAACTGATCTTCTGCTTTTAAGATCTTTAGGTAGGTTGTTTTCGTACAGAAAATTAACTTCTTTGTTGTCATTGTCACGTATAAGAGCCTTTAGCCTTATGTATTTTTAATGGTAATTTGTTGTTTTGCAACCTTAATGAACATGATTGACGCTTTTTTTATAGTTCACTGAAGCTGAATTTTGTGCATGATGGAATTGTTCAGATTGTTCTTTGCATTTCTCATCTCTTTGCAAGCTTAAAGTGGCGTCTATGGTCCTTACAGTAACCTCAGTCAGTTATTAAATCATGTTGTAACTGGAAAGACGTTTTTGCAATAATGTAACTTTAACTTTGTTCGAAGGAAATCTTACTTAAGCGTAGTTAGGTTTTTGACAGGTGTGATGCATGTTAACTTGACATCACGACAAAGCAAAATTTATCTGCGTGAAACGATCACAAGTTTAAAAACTATAGTTTCTTTGAAACCAACTTTTAGGAGGATTTTACTAGATAAAGATTGACATTTTTCTGCCCACACATCAACGCAATAACTTCTACATTGAGGATTTTGTTTATATTAAATTTTTAGTGATCTGCGAAGCTACGAGTGTCCGATCGAGCGTGGGTTTTAAAATATCAGCTCTAGTGCGACAAAGTTCAGTGACCTTAAACACATTGTGGCCAAGAGTTAATTTTTTGGGGCAAATCCCTGTCCAAAGATATGTTGTTTTTGTGTCCACAGTGGAGCTCCGGACCTTAAATATCCAGAAAAAAAACGGACCTACAGACCTACGCATGCACATTTCCAATACAACACAAGGAAATTAATGCCGTTAAAGTCCGTTTTACTATGAGGTATTCTTCGAGAAAATTAAGTAATGGCAGGTTATGACCACAGCTTGCAACTTTTGGAGACAAATTGCCTGTTCTTTCCAGGTTATGAGTGGAAATATTTTATTTTTAGGCAAAAAAAATATTTGAAATCCCCCTATTTTCTTAAACCCGGCTAGGGGATCTGGGCAAAAAAGTTCACGCATGCTCATTACGTTTATCCGCCTTGAAAGTCCCTAGGCGATCTCACTAGATCCGTTGTCCCCGCGAGGTCTGGGAGAGACCGGGAGAGAGAACGCGTTCTCCGTTCTCGGCGAGTATCCTGGTGACGTCACAGCTCATGGTAGAGTCCAGGAATGACCGAGCCGAAAACGCCTGGGGACTTGGATATTCCAGACTTTTTATACAGCCACGATGAGCAATATCTTTCATGACATACATAAAAAGGTTTTCTTTTTTTCGTGAGTATGGGATACCAGTTCTCTTCAACAACATTTCCCGATATCTCTCGTCATTAATTAAATCGCTAAGTCTCGTATCCCGTTTATAGGAAGCTAGTGATATTACAATTCCGCATCTCCCTCTCCAATTTTCTTAAAATTCAGTATCTCAGCCTAAGAATAAGCCAGATCTCGGATACCGAATAACTTATTGGGGACCTCCAACTCTCTTGCGTAGCAGTCGTTTCCATTTCCCTTTAGCTGAGTAGGAAAAGCACACCAGGGAGGGAGGGTAGGGAGCATAAGAAGGAGCACAAAATAGAAACAAAGGGAAGGGGCGGGAAAAAAAAGGAATCACCTTACTTGGCAAAAAGGAGACAGAAGCGACTGCTAGGCAGCCTAAATTGCCAAATTAAGACAATTTATAGGATCAAACAACGTGCTTTCTCGTGCCGATCCTCAGCTCGACTGCTTACATGGTGTTTGTTTACTAATGCCAACTCACTACGAATTCTTTCTACGTACTTATGATCTTCACCGAAAATTTGTTTATTAATCGTCAGTGCTTTTTCGTGGCTTGATTGTATTCTCCCAGGCGTTCGTACACTAATGCCAAGTTGTTATAACTTGTTGCAACATCGGCATGATCTTCACCAAAAATCTTTTTGCGGATTATCAGTGCTTTTTGGTGAAGGTCTTTGGCTTGATTGTATTCTCCCAGGCATTTGTACACTAATGCCAAGTTGTCATTACTTGTTGCTACAGCGGCATGATGTTCACCAAAAATCTTTTTGCGAATTATCAGTGCTTTTTGGTGAAGTTCTTTGGCTTGATTGTATTCTCCCAGGCATCTGTACACTAATGCCAAGTTGTTGTAACTTGTTGCTACATCAGCATGATCTTCACCAAAAATCTTTTTGCGAATTATCAGTGCTTTTTGGTGAAGTTCTTTGGCTTGATTGTATTCTCCCAGGCATCTGTGCACTAATGCCAAGTTGTCATTACTTGTTGCTACAGCGGCATGATCTTCACCAAAAATCTTTTTTCGAATTATCAGTGCTTTTTCGTGAAGTTCTTTGGCTTGATTGTATTCTCCCAGGCATCTGTACACTAATGCCAAGTTGTCATTACTTGTTGCTACAGCGGCATGATCTTCACCAAAAATCTCTTTTCGAATTATCAGTGCTTTTTGGTGAAGTTCTTTGGCTTGATTGTATTCTCCCAGGCATCTGTACACTAATGCCAAGTTGTTGTAACTTGTTGCTACATCAGCATGATCTTCACCAAAAATATTTTTGCGAATTCTCAGTGCTTTTTGGTGAAGTTCTTTGGCTTGATTGTATTCTCCCAGGCATCTGTACACTAATGCCAAGTTGTCATTACTTGTTGCTACAGCGGCATGATCTTCACCAAAAATCTTTTTTCGAATTATCAGTGCTTTTTCGTGAAGTTCTTTGGCTTGAATGTATTCTCCCAGGCATCTGTACACTAATGCCAAGTTGTCATTACTTGTTGCTACAGCGGCATGATCTTCACCAAAAATATTTTTTCGAATTATCAGTGCTTTTTGGTGAAGTTCTTTGGCTTGAATGTATTCTCCCAGGCATCTGTACACTAATGCCAAATTGTCATTACTTGTTGCTACAGCGGCATGATCTTCACCAAAAATATTTTTGCGAATTCTCAGTGCTTTTTGGTGAAGTTCTTTGGCTTGACTGTATTCTCCCAGGATGTCGTACACTAATGCCACGTTGTTATAACTTGTTGCTACATCGGCATGATCTTCATCAAAAATGTTTTTGTAAATAGTCAGTGCTTTTTGGTGAAGTTCTTTGGCTTGATTGTATTCTCCCAGGCGTTTGCATACTAATGCCAAGTTGTTGTAACTTGTTGCTACATCAGCATGATCTTCACCAAAAATCTTTTTGCGAATTATCAGTGCTTTTTGGTGAAGTTCTTTGGCTTAATTGTATTCTCCCAGGGTGTCGTACTCTAATGCCAAGTTGTTATAACTTGTTGCTACAGCGGCATGATCTTCACCAAAAATCTTTTTGTAAATAGTCAGTGCTTTTTCGTGAAGTTTTTTGGCTTGATTGTATTCTCCCAGGCATTTGTACACTAATGCCAAGTTGTTATAACTTGTTGCTACATCGGCATGATCTTCACCAAAAATCTTTTTGTGAATAGTCAGTGCTTTTTGGTGAAGTTCTTTGGCTTGATTGTATTCTCCCAGGGTGTTGCACACTAATGCCAAGTTGTTATAACTTGTTGCTACATCGGCATGATCTTCACCAAAAATCTTTTTGCTAATTATCAGTGCTTTTTCGTGAAGTTCTTTGGCTTGATTGTATTCTCCCAGGCGTTTGCACACTAATGCCAAGTTATCATAACTTGTTGCTACGTCGGCATGATCTTCACCAAAAATCTTTTTGCGAAGTATCAGTGCTTTTTCGTGAAGTTCTTTGGCTTGACTGTATTCTCCCAGGCGGTGATACACTTCGCCAGTTATATTCAAAACCCTCCCTTTACGAGCAAACGCACCTGTTGAAGTGTCGTCTAAGTTCCACAGTAGGTCATATGCTAAGTTGACCACAATTTTCGCAAAGAAGAAATAGGAGCTTTCTTGACAGACCCTGGCGAGGTTATGTAGCCAATCAATAACTGTATCCAAATTTATGAAGAGCGCAAACCTTTCTGAAAAAGTGCTTTCATCTGAACTAAACTCTGACGTCATCTTCTTAAGTAAAGATTCACAGTGGGGCCTCAATTTTTTACAAAACGCATAATTCTCGTAATTTTCTTCGAGTTGGGATTTGAAAATCTTTACCGCTTCTGCCATGGTGTGGTCGCTTTCCCGGCTTGATTTCAGGTTGGCTATCTCGCCTCGTTTCAAAGCGTCATGCACAACTTTATGTAAACGTAAATAAGTTCGTTCACCCCCTTCTTCGGAATGAACAAGACTTAAAGAGGACCTTACAATGTTTGCTTTCATTAAAACCTCTGGATGGTCCTTTACTTGGGCTTTGACGAACTTTAAAACAGTTTCGAGTGGTAGGTCGTCGTTAGCGCAGAGCGAAAGAAAAGAATATGTATGAAGAAGAACCTCGTCTGTTTCAACAGCTCTTTGGATAGCCATTTCTACTGCGGCCATTGTTGTTTTAGCGTAGGCTGAACTCTCATTAGCAAGGACAGTTTCGGCCGATTTTCGTTGGCTGTATGTTGATATCTCTTGAAGGTATGCTTTCCAATTATAATTTGAAGACCCACTGGTCACAACAGTTTGCACGAAATAAGCAGCAGCAGCTAAGGCCAGTGGCTGAAAATCGAGAAGTTCAGCGACATTTTCTGCTTGTACTCGCTCGGAAATTCGCGATACTGTTTCCAGCAATTCCACTGCCTCGTCCCGCCTCATTCCTTTGCTTAACGATTCATGATACGTGTGAGGAGCGTTTTGAGGAATTGTACCACTATCTTGAGTGGTAATCAGCACTTGCCCATGGCCCCATTCTTTACTGCCAGTTTGAGGAAGCAAGTCGCGGACTAGGCGTAAATCAATCACATTGTCTACTATTATCAACCATTTGGTAAACTTGCTGGTCTTCGGCAGAATCAAGCGATGGAGCTGTTTAATTGCTTCACTAGGTTTCTCTTCTTTTATAGATTCTAAACCTTTCAACGCGTATTCTGTTATCCCTAAGTGTCTCCCAAGGGTGAGGTAAGAGTCAGCAAGTTTGTCAATGCTTTCTGTGTTCATTGTCGCCACAAAGATAAGATCATTGTTTTGTTTAGAAAAGAACTGCTGTCCGATCTCCCGGGCAAGTTGGCTCTTGCCACATCCTGGATTTCCTGACAAATACACTGTACTGACTGCCCCGCTTGAACTTTTGTAAAGTTCCTGCATTTCGTTAGTGATTCTTTCAATATCATGCGAGCGCCTGATAGTATGGTGTGGTGGGCACGATGCGAGAATGCCAAATGGCTGAAGTTCTACACTTATTTCCTGTGTGACAGAAACCAGGGCAGCTTCGGTACTTTTAAGAGTGCTTTTTGTCTTATCTAACTCGGTTTGGAGATAACGAACTTGCTTTCTTATTTTTTCCACTTCCTTCGTCGGAAAGGTCTTCTGGTTCTTTATTTCTTGAATCTCAGGTATAGCCAGACCAAGGGATGTAAAAGCGTTCAACACTCTGTCTACAGACGTTTGGAAGTCGGCATCTGTCAACTTAGCCTCGGTGATATGAGCGATCTCGTTTCGCACCTGACGAATATCATCGACCTCTTTACGGACAGCTGGGCTTAAGGTTTTACCAATGCTGTCCGAGTACAGAATGGCAAAAAACAAATAGGTACAGTCCCACTCTGGCCTGTCACCATTGTAGATTATTGCCAGAGTTCGGGCGTTTTTATTCCGACTTGCTTTAGATTCTTGGTTGTAAAAATCATGTCCATTTTGTGCCGTGTCTTTCCATTCTCCAGTTAACGTTGCTTTATAAAGGAAATCCCATTCGTTTTTGAAAATGTGCCGCAGTCCCACTGGAACCAAATCAAATGCTATGTAGCAGAGTCTGAAGTAGTTTAGTTGCTCTTGCGAGTATTCCATCACCAACTTATAATCCTAGTAAGAGATATTGCCTATTAGCTTATTTTCTCGTTAGGCCAAAACAAAGATTATTTACTCATCATTTTGAAAATGGCAAGAATCACCGTTGATTATGTAACACAGTTATTCCATAAAATGATTATGGAAAGCAAGCCGTAACTAATGATAAACTAAGTTTAATACGGTACACATTAATGACGCTTTACTTTATTTTGATCAGTGCGCAAATATTAAGGGTTCTGGGCCTTTTCGAACAGTGCTTCGTTTGGATGACAAGTTGAGGATAACAGATATCGTAGAAGAATATAGAAGTAGGGTAGAAGAAGGATGAGAAGCAGGAAAGAGATTAAACCTGTTTGTCTAGAAGTGCGCTCTTTACGATATGCAAGCTCTGTGGACTCAAGAGCTCTTGTCTTTGCGCGGCTAAAAAAAAGGCTCTCGGGTCGAGATTGGTGGGGAGGGGGGCTACAGGTAGCACCACCGTCCCATAGTCAGGTTTAGAGTGCAGAGGGAGACGACGATCACATAGCAAAAGAGAAAACAGCGGGTTATACAAAGTTCTCTGCAAGTTCATTGATTTTCTTTCCACTGGGATTGGTCTTAAAAACGGTACACGAAAATTTCTCTTAGCGCTTTAACCCTTTCACTCCTAGACTGAGTTATGGTGAGATGACCGATCATTTTCATTTGTACCTGTGGACCTTGTAATTGTGTGTTCACGCCACCCCCCCGGGGGGGGAAGTTACTCCCTATAATTGCCTATACGGGGAGGCTCCTCCCGAAAGGGTAACACTTTTCAGCCTTCAAGTAAATGAAATGTTAGGGATTTCACTTGCTGAAGTATATGAATGTGTAGGGAAATATGTCATTTCGTTGGTAAAAAGGCTCAAAAGGGCCAATAGGTGCATTTTAAGGCAGTGAAAAAGTTGAGAAAACGTTCTGGTTTTGTGATTTATTCATGATATGTTAAAGACAATGCATTTACAGTTGTTGAAAGGGATGCAAAGTTCTGTACTTGGTGTGTGAAAGGGGTATCATTTATCAATAGAAGGTATACGAAAGGGGGAAAGTTTCTGTCTAAAACGGTATATAAAAGGGTAATTAAGGGGTCCAACCTCGCGGTGGAGCCTCCCCGTATACCATTTTTGTGGTACCCCCCGAGACATGATGAACTCATGATGAAGCCCAAAGAACGAGCGAAAAGATGTTGTTTTAATTGTAACATTTGACCTAATTGGTTTACTTCCCACCAACCATAAATTATTGCTTATATTACAATGGCATAAAACATGTACCGGAGTTTGTGAGGAAACGTTCACTGTTACAGAGAAATAGCTCAAACAACGAAAAATGTTTGAAATTTCATAGTCAGAGTCGAATCTACAAGAAATGGCAAACTTCGGCGATTATCCGGGAGATTTGAGACTCTAATCTGGAGACCGGGAGAAACGGTTTAAAATCTGGAGTCTCCCGGATTATCTGCGAGAGTTGACAGCCCTGTAAGATTTACTCAGTTTTAGCAAGAGAGGATAAAGGGGACAGAGAAGGCATCTCCCATACACACCCTATTCCATAGGTAATTGATCTCGAGTTATTTTTAACACCACAGATCTCAAGGGGGATTAGGCAACAGCCAATCACATAGCGCGAATGTGTTCCGCGTGGATGATCCACGCTCAGAGGCACGCGTCCTTCACGAATTGACGCAGAACAAAATGGCGCAAGACGCGGAGAGCGATATTGCTATTCGTTTTGTCGACGAAAACGACTTCAGAGAGATTTCTGCTAAAGCTGTGTCAGCATAGCTACTAACTATGGTGTCAGCAAAACGGAAATTAAAAAAGAATCGCCCTTCCTCTCTTGTACAGAGCTAACAGTACAGCAGGGAAATCCTTAACACACTGAATATTCTCTCAGGATCATTTATAATTTACAGTTTGAAGAGAAGCTAAGAGAGCAATTTCTGGTTTGATATTTATTCTTTTATTAGTCTTTTATTATTCAACAAAAATAACAATTGGAGTCCTACTTCCTTTATTGTACAAACGACCGGCTTCAATAGACCGGCGAAATTTCTCATTTTATTACAGCACTGAGGTTACGACAACTTCGAGTTAAACTGATTTCAGGATTGTCAAAGAGTCCAGCGATTCCTCTTTCCCAGGTGAGCGCCGACTCATTTCGCGTCAATATTTAGGAATGCTCTCGATGTCTTTACGCTTTCATTGCCTTTCGCCCGACATGTTTTGCACGGCGTTTAGTCATGCGAAACCTCCACGAAACATCCACAAAGCGCGCGAGGGAGCTTTATCCTGATTCTGAAAATAACTCGAGACGAATTACCTATGGGATAGGGTGTATATGGGGGTGCCTTCTCTGTCCCCTTTATCCTCTCTTGGTTTTAGTCCATGCGAATCATCGTCAAGTGAACTCACATCTTATTTAAGCGAGCTTTATCTTCTTGTAACTTCAAGGGCGATAATTTCGACTGTTTGATTTGATAATTTGTTTACAATGAAAAATATTAAATTAAAATGTCATGACCGCGTGTTTTTGTGCATTGGGTTTATTATTTATATCCTGAAAACTTTTTTTTAACCTGCGAACAGCAGACGCATTTCCGGTCGTGAAGCGAAGACCGGAAATGCGTCTGCTGTTCGGTTACGGATATATGGCGCAATTGAGTTTGAAAATGAATAGCAAACTAAATCTCATTTGTGGTTAATGAAACTGGAAATAAAATGGACTGCTAAACTTCGCTGTCATGTATGGTAATTTTTGTTCGCTCGATTAGTGTCCACACAATCAAATCGAACAAGACGGCATTTCAAACTTGGCGAATAAACGTGAAAGGTGAAATATTCATATGAGAATGGGACAAAGAAAATGTACGAGTTCCCTTCAGCGACAAAGATCTTTCTGAAATTCGAAATGCTACGTCATCAGTGAAGACATTTCAAATAGCTAAAAGTAAACACAGACAAGGTCCATTATGGCGCGTTGTTAGGGTCAAAATTAATAATGCAAACTTTTTTTAAAGATGACTTTCGAATTACAACTCTTGTGACATGATTAACTACAAATGTAGTTTCTTTTGACATTTTTTGCGAAAACTTTTTTCTTTCTGCACGTTCCATGGCGTGCAAGTGTTTTTCTTTACCACTACTTTCCAACTGCAACTCTTGTTACATG